CAACAAGAAATGGCATTATTTCATGGCATAGAGAGAAAGAGAGAGAGAGAGATAAAAAAGAAAAGAGAAGCCATGGAGAGGAAAAAGGGAGATGGGATATAAAAAATAAAAAAAAAAAGGTCCTTCAGGGAACATGGTGTAAATGAAGTTCCAGGAATGACACAGGCGGGCAATGAGGCGTGGATGGAAAATATACGCCGCACATCATCGGATAGAGATGCCAGTGGAAATGGCTTCATTGAAGTGTCAGTCCTCATCCATCAATCAATCATCCGCGAGAAACAATAACGCGGTTGGCGATGGGGCAGCTTTTATGGGGCTTACTCATGGGTATCGGAAACAGCACTTAAGTGCGGTTCTGACACCGGGAGAAAAACAGAGATGAGGTGCTGGGCTTATTCCGTATGCAGGTAGAGCAGATAAAAAGGGGGGGGAAGGGAGTGACAAAGTACACAGTTGCCCTGTAGCGGTGGAACTTGTGCAAAGGAGTTTTTTTTTTTTATCTCCACGGCAACAATGGATTCTTGCTTATCTTCTGTCCACTTTGCCTCTGTGTGTTTAAATACGTTGTGTTAATGTGTGAGCACAGTTTATAGTAGGTTTGAGGTACGATCACATCAAACTAAACGTAGTTTATCAGACATTTTTAGGACACCAATTGCAACATTGATTTTTCAGAATTATTCTAATTGTAATGATATTTAATAACTAATAACAATTACTCTGTTTTGGAATGATAATTGGGTTATAGTACCCTTTATTCAAAAGTAACTTGATAGAAAACGGGTTATTGGGAATAAAAAAAACAAGTGGAAAGGACCCCATGCTGTGATATGTACTCTCTTTTTTTAAATTGCTGTTGAGTTTTCTGTTCTGATGACATGTTTTATGCAAGAGCACCATGTTTGTACAAATACTTTGTTTCCTATTTTATTTGTCCGTTTTTGTTTTTTCAAATGTTCAGATTTATTAAATTGTATTCTTTTTTAATGAGTAGATTTAACAAACGTAGTGTCTGATGTTTCATGAAATTTTTTAAAATGATTTCTGTGCTCTATGAAACCTAAATATGATGTTTTCTGAACTATATCACGTCTATTCAAATGTTCCTGTGCTTTTTATTGTGTTTGTATAAGGTTGTGTTTCTTAAAAAGTATGTTTTTTTGTCTTTTTATACATTTTTGAGAAATATATTTGTGATTTTGTTGTGTTTCTCCCCTCGGGGCCTCTGATGTTTATTCAGATTAAGACACAACTGAAGAGTGCGTTAACTTTCTGAGTCCACGTGTAGGCCCAGTAGTGATGTGTCAAACAAGCAAATTATGCGGGCTACACATAAAAACCATGGTAGCATGTTGCTGCTCAAAGGATGTGTTTATTTTCTTTAATTTCTTTGACAGCATGTTCCATTTACTAATTAGCAAAAATAACATCCAAAGATTAATGGAAATTTTCATTTTGCAACTCAAGTAGTCAACAAATGTGTCAACAAAGAAACGTTATGTTCTGGTATTTTAGTCATATCAAATATGTTCTACCAAGTCATAAATACCAGCATCCTTATACTATTTTTGAAAAATCATCTATGTCTCAGCATTTAACATATTATTTTAAGCTATCAATCCTTTTTTGATGTTATAGTAAACAGGTGGTTTTAATTTAGTAAAGTTAGCTGTTGTATCAGTAACCAAAATCAAATAATCCCCACAGATCGTGGGTACTAAAAATAGAGCACCGTTTCTTTAAGGCCACATGTTTAGTGCTTTCCCGGTTTGAAAAATAATCAAAAAGATGCTAAATGGTCCAACAGTCGTTTTTGCTGTACGTGAGCCTTTTGATTTCCCCAGCACGAGTCTCTTGACGGCCTCTCTGCAACATGAAACATGACACGTCATCCATTATTCTGTACATGTGCCTTTGCTATCTCAGCCCCGCTCCATATGGCCCCTGTTGTCTCCAGACACCCAAATCCCCTTTCCTTAGGCCAGGGGCTGTTTTTTTGCGGGGGAACCATTACATTGCTCCTCTTCCTCAGAGGAATGGGGTGACGATGATGAGCGATCGCAGCCGGGCAGACTCTCAGCCCTTCGAAATCTGACAGGGATACATTCAACAATTGACCGTAATCTGCTTTGCTGGCCCAATTGCTAATTCATGCAAGTTGACGATCCAGAGGCAACAATTATGAGTGATGAAGGGACTGAAAATAAAAAGGAGAGAGCACTTAGGGGGGGAAAGGAGAAAATACATGAAGCTGACTTTAAAAGCAAAAAGAGGGAGGTACGAGGATTGAAAGTCATACCACTGGAGAAAAAAAGAGGGTGGAAATTGCTACTCACATCCTCAATCAAAAAGGAGTTTATCCACAACACAGATGAATAGATAGCGATGCAAGCATAAAATGCCATTTGTGTTTGCGGCTAGTTACTGAAAAATCAGTTTAAAGGAAACATAATGTGTTGAAAGAGCCTTGATAAGGAGCTGTGAAGACTCCAGGTGTTTGTTTTTTCCACACTGCAGAGTCCTGTAGGGATTTGTATGATACCCAGGATTGTTTGGATTTGGATTGTTCTGCTCTGTTTTTATATCTGTTATTAGCATAGAGGGAAAAAAGAGGTGGTCAAATGACCAGATGTTTAGTTTTAGTTCAGTTTCATCACTGTATATAAAGAAATGCCAAAGACTTAGCACTAATATGACTCATACTGAATGGAGTCTTGTAAATATGTACGCATAGGAAATGGTCAAGCCAGTATTCTGGCAGGAATTAGTTTTTTCTAAAAGGCCAAAAATAACGAATATAAATATAAAATGTGAAGTAAATCAACGTGTACTTGGTCTTTGCCTTTTGCACAGGCTTTATGTGAAAACCCTCCCAGCCTTGTGACTTGTGTATCGTGTGGAACAGGATGGATGTCATAAGCTGTTGTCGACTTTGCGTTCCCCGCCATCCCGTTTGCGCCGAGTTCGCCACACTGCGAGAGGAAACATGAGGGTGATGCTAAGTGAAATGCTCATTTTGCGTTTGTGATTGCGAAGGCCCATGGGCGATATGCACTAATGTGAGCTAATGCAATAGATTACACAGTGCTGGCCCAGGGGAACAGACAGCAAACAGATGCGGTCTACTCAAAAAGGGAGGAGGGAAAGGAAAAAAAAAAAAATCAAAGTTAAAAGTGTTCAATGTGCTGAAGATTGTCTCTCGCAGTTTGTTTTTTTCACAGGGTGCGCGGCCATGATGAGTTTTGTCAGTTGTCTCCTTTTATAGATATGAGGAAAGTTAACAACGGTGCACTGATGTCTCTTTTGATGTAGAAGTTATTTCCAAATTCATCTCGTGAGGTCATTTTTTCTCTACGAGTGGATGTTTGGTGAACAACAAAAGGGAAAGAATTCCTGCTGCATTGCTCTGTCGGTGATGTCATAGCATGTGGGTTGCCATAAACAGCTGACAGGCAACACCTGCGTGCTATCCCGGGTTAGATGGTAGCCCATAGCACAGGGTTTCAAACCAAAGACTGGAAGAATTTCCGTACTTTGTGCACAAAAGTGTAGTTTATAGATTAAATCCAGACCTGTCCATATATTTAGGTGTCTTCATAGAAGCTAAGATGGGTTTTTTTGCACCAAAACCATTTAGTTCCATACTTTGCCTGGCCAACGTAAAGGTAAAGTAAAATTATAAAAGCCAACAGCAATACTAAGCTCTTCTATCCAGTCTTTTGCTATAAGAAATAAGGCTTTGGATATACTGCCCTCTGGTGGAAAGTCTGAGGAACTGATGCCCATAAAACAGTTCTTACATACTCTGCAGTTTCTCTCAGTAAAATCTGAAATTAAATATGACACTGATAAAAGATGGATCGTATACTTTATTTAAGGTGATGAAGCTCTAATAGCCTGATTAAATAACTCCCTTTTACTCCTATTTTTCCCTGCTGATATAAAGACAAATGCAGTAGATGGGAAGTAAGAATATAATAAGTGTTTGGTATGTCAAAACTTACATTATTCATATCTAACTCAAATGTGTTTGTTTTTTAAAGACTGTAATTGTTTGAAGCTTAGATGAAGCACTCCTTACTCTCTTTGACACCAAAATATCAAGATAGGGTACATTATTCGAAGCCAGAGGAATTACAATTAGAGCAAAAATGTAGAGCTCAATCTGCTTAAAGTAGAAACATTGTTAACCGTTTTAAAATGTTGATCCTGTATCTGCTGTAGATGTCAAACTAAACCAATATCTGTCATTTCTAAAGAACCATTCTTAACGTTACATACTTATTTATCTAAGAAAGAAACAGTCACTACCAGAGTTCTAAACCTCTCACTTTATTGTTGACGTGTCATTCAAATCTCAAAAACTATGTTAATTTTTTAGAGAATTTCACAGGCAATATAAACACCAAAAGCAAACAAAAAAAAACAAACAAAAAAAAAACTTTTTTTCCCCACATTGTACAGTTTTCTGAATCATTTATCACCACGGCTGCTCTTAGTTGTCTTTTCTGACATGGAAAAGGTCACTTAATGAGGACTGCTGCCACTGGAAAATACATTTTCAAGACTCTGCGTACTAAAAAACAAAATCTTGACAAAGTGAATGTGTTGAATCCGATAATACAGTGACACCACATTCCACATTTTCACAGAAAAAAAAAACACAAAAAAACTATCGGCAAATGGATTTGAGGCACCACTTAAGTAGTCGATGGCAATATCAAAAAGGAATAAGTAACAAAGTCTGTTCTGTGTTTAAAACCGGGCTTATAAATAGCAAATCAAATTTACCAAGAACCAAAAAATGATGTTAGTTATTCGGTAGCAGGTATAGGGGACGTTAACATTAGAGTACACAGTCTCGTTACCGTTTTGATTGTGTAGGTGGTGTTTGACAGATACGGCCATGCGCCAACACGTGTCCGTCCACACCTGCTACTACAACTCAAACATCTGTCTCCACTCAACAGATGTCAAGCTGTACAGAACATGACATGATAGCTTCAGCAGCTTTGGGGGGGAAAAAAGAAAGAGAAAATGAAAGGTTTCTTGAGCACAACATGAGGTAGAGCACTTTAGCATACGTGAGGAAATGTTACTGTGGTGTGTTTGTAAACTAATGGTCTCCTTACCCTCCACTGCTTTGGGGAAAAGACAAAAATTCACAGAATTCTGTGCAACTGCTTTAACAGTATATACGGAGAAGCCAAATTTCACACAATTTTCTTTTAGGTTTTAGCTCGACACCATCCCATGGACCGACACACTTTTCTCAGCCCACGTTTAAATTTAATTCTTACATTACAAATTGATTTTAGAAACATTAGTGTGGGGGTAAATATGGATTTTAGTTCTGAGTGGAAAGACTCCCAGTGTTCACCAGAGGAAACATATTTCAATAATAACTTGCACTTTTCCCATTCCAAACAATACTAAACCAAACAAAAATGTAATCCTAAGTCTTTAAATGTCTTAGTTACACTAAATGTATTCTTTCAATAAACAAACTAGAGAAGCATAAGCACGTTTTGAGTCAATCCATTCTCATATTATTTTCATAAATTAAACTTTTTTTTCATTGAGCTCTCCAAAATAAGGTAGCAGCACAGTTTAAGTCTACAAAAAAGGAAAAAGACTTTGAAATTTTAATTTAAATAAACAAATAAATGAAATCATTTTGGGAAATTCTGGACAGTGTTCAAATAAGAAATAAAAAAATGTGGTCTTATGTGAATCCAAAGATTTCTGGATGATTTATGTTGAAGCTTTTTAGGAGCTTTTGTCAGTGGTCCCGTAGCGTTGCTTTGAGAACGAGCCCGAGGGGTCTCTCCTCTGAAGGTTGGGTAGACTGGGTAAGTGTTGGAACAGCACAGTTCTGCCACCTGGGAGAACATTTTTCACATTAATTCAACAAACTAGATTAAATACCTACAGTGGGGGAAATAAATATTTGACCCCTTGCTGATTTTTCAGGTTTGCCCACTTACAAAGAATGCTTGTTTTTCCTCATCAGATGGTTATCAATTTTTATAAATTCATATGATGTGATTTTCTGGAATCTTCTTTGGGATTCTGTCTTTCACTGTTAGCATGTACATATGATTAAAGTTATAGATTGTTGCATTGTTTGTAAGTGGGCAAACCTGCAAAATCAGCAAGGGGTCAAGGGGTCAAATACTTATTTCCCCCACCGATAATAGTATTGAATATGTACAAAAATAACATAATTTGAATTCTGAGGCTGATTTAGCTGATGTGATACGTACCGGTTCTGGGGTTGACCAGTCCTCCGTGAGTGGCGTTCCCCGGTGTGCTGTGATAGAGGGAGGCGCAGGGCCGCAGGAGGTTCATCATGCTCCATTCGGAGTCCAACCCCCCCCCTAAGGGCGGGGACGTGTTTTTAATTGGGCCGTGAGCCTCGGAGGCCGTGGCCGGGCCCGAGCCGTGGGGTGTGGTTTTCCCGCCTCTCCCCGTGAGGAGCATCCGGTTGGATCCATCCGCCGGGGGTCCTCTGAAACCGGGCTTCTCAGCGGTTTCTGCGTCCCTGCTCGCCAGTACGGAGAACTTCAACCTCTTGCCGGAGGGTTCGCCGAAATCTATCTGCGGGAGGCCCCTGAATTGGCTGGACAAGCATAGCCGCGCCGCGTTCGAGTTCCAAATGGCGTTGTGTCTGGCTGGGTAATTCCTCTCGACGGCTCCCACTCTGTCCATGATGTAGCTGCTTCCTGCCGTGGCTTTCCTCAGGAGCTCCGTGTACCTGGAAGGTTCCGGACCGGCGCGGGAATCGACGCCCTGCCTGTAACGCAGCGTCTCCTGGACGTCCTGCGGCGCATGGATAGATGACTGCTTGGGACAGTGGGACGGCTTAACCAGTGCGCTCTGTTGAGGCCTTTTGGATTGCGGAGGGGGGGATTTCGTCCGGCGGGGATAGCGCCGGTCAGTCGTCAGAAGCGGGGCCACATCGTTGCCGTTGAGCGCCGGGGGGCAGCCGGTGTACCGTTTCTCTTTAATAGTCCCTCCTGGCCCGTTCTTTTTGGTACTGTCCGAGTTGTCTTTATGCGTCAGCTTTTTGTGCATGATAAGAACCTCTGGGTATATCGTTTTATAAGCGCAAAATGGACATGAAATTGGGCTTAATGCATATTTAGGTTCTGGATCGATGGGAATAGATAGAGACACTTTTACTGAGAGATTTAATGGGGCTTCCTCGTTGTCAGTCTTCATTTCTGTCTCCCCTTTCAGGTCAACGGGTACCGGGAATTTTAAGAGATTATCGCCAACATCATCAGTTGAGGAATGAGCATTTTTTGTAGGTAATTTCTCACACTCACTGTTTACTTGAGCAACTGGTTTCCCAGGCTTGCCGTTATCTGTTACTACATTTGTGCATTCATTTGCTTGAGGAACCCAGAGTTTGGAGCTGCTTGGGGAGGGATTTTCATCACCGTTTCCATGTTTTCTGTCTTCGGCAGAGGGCAGTGAAGGCACCGGTCTGTTGGGGATTTCCACATAAGGTTTGTCTTTGTGGCGCCGATCGAGGTGATATTTTAGCGAAGTCTTCTGCGCAGCGGCATAATCGCAATAAGCACACTTGAAAGGTTTCTCTCCTAAGAAACAAAAGTTAAGTCACAGTTTTAGATAGGGACTACATAAGTTAGAAAATGTGCAGGGTGTCAGTTGGGTACAGACAAACAGAACAAGTGTTGTGAACATACCTGTGTGCGTCCTCAAATGAACTGTGAGGTAATAGCTTGATCTGAATGATTTGCCACAAAAACTGCATGCTTTTGATCTGACTTTTGATCGATCAAAACCATCTTCACCTTAACAGAATATACAAATCAATTAAAATAATAAAAGGAAGTATCAGGTTAAAATAAAACTTGTTAGGCAACTTCTATCATGTTTCTCATCAGTAGAGGGAGCTCTTTATGACAGTGAGATTTGTATACAATGCCAAAATAACAACTTTAACATAAGAAGAATGTTTGGATATGCACATTTACCTGAGATTAAGTTTTCCTCCATGCCCTCCTCAAAGCCTTCCTCAGTTGGGTCCACAGAGACCATTCTTGGCAGCTTCCCATCAGCAGAAGTTGGGCTATCTCCACCACCTCTTTCCCGCTTGTGGACCCTGGAGTGGAGAACTAACTGGTGGTAGGTCCTGAAGTTCCTCTTGCATTCCTCACAATGGGTTGGCCTGTCTTTGTCCTTGTCTTTTTGCATTAGAGACCTCCGCGGTGGATGCGGATCTTCTATCAAGGCCTGCTGGTGAGATCGGAGCTCTCTCCCTGGAGCCTCGCTTTTTTCTCCCCGACCTTCAGTCCAAATATTCTGCTCGTCTTTATCAGAGCCCGAATCGTCATTGTCTGTGCTGACTTCCTGACCGGTATCTTTAGGATTATTGGGGCCAACTGCTATCTTGCCTTTTGTAGCAAGTTGCCAGGCCTGATATGTGTTGAAGGGATCAAGCTGAGGGATCCATTTTGAGGATCTCACATTTTTCAAAGTGTTTACTTCTGAGGAAGGGTAAAGGTTGAAACTACTAAGAAACTTCTCTTTTTGGAAAGATTCAGGAGCATCATTCATCTTGTCCTCGTCTTTGCTGGACTCCATCTCTCGAATATGTACTTTACTGTGTTCAGCCAAACTGTTATGATCAGGAAAGAAAAATCCGCAAACCATGCACATTTTGTAAACGGTGACGACGGGCTCTGCAGCAGATTCTTGAACAACATCGTTGACCGTCGCCGGGGTATCCGCATCTTGCGAGGCCTTGCTCTTCGGTCCTGGTTTGACATGCATCTTCATGTGATTTTTAAGAAACCAAGGCTCTCTGAAACGGCGCCCGCAGACATTGCAACAGTACGTAAAGTAGTCCTTGTGCTTCCGCATATGGGTCTCCAGCTCGCTGGCATCTTGTGCTATGTGACCACACAGGATACAGCTGGGAACCTCCTCTGTTTCTAAACTGCTCTGCTTGGGTTGGGCTACCCCTCCTGGGATCTTCAATTCGGCTTCAACCCGAAGCACTGTGGGTTCAAAATATGTAGTGGGATGCTGAGTTAGGACATGGGGCCCTAATTCGTCCTGATGAGTGAAAATCTGCTCACAGAACATACAGGACAGTGAGGCACTTCCTTCAATCTGCAGCACAGCCTTTTCTGCATAGGTAGTGTATGGCGTCATACTAGAGCCAGGCTTTGGGATGCTCACATCGCTACTACTGAGAATATCTTGGGCATGTCCATCTGGGATGTCTACATACGGCAGCAATGAGCGAGTAGGCATTTTCCTCTAATCTTTGAGAAGTGTCTTCTTAGGAGCCTGAAAGAATAGAAAATGAAGACCTTCAGGTGTTTTGTGTGACATAAAAAACAGATCAGGTAACTTAAACACCTCACTGACATTAAAAAAAAAGAAACACAGAGAGAAGTTCCTTCGCTTTTACTGAAACAGGAAATATCTTTTTTAGCTATCAACTACATCAACAACTCATTTCCTCTAAGTCAGTGCCACTGATAAAAAAAAGTTTGTTTTCTCTTTTGCTCACTTAGTTATAAAAGTTAGAATTTATAAGCATATCCAGGTTGACAGCTGTTTTGTCTTAATTAAAAACTCCAACTTACTTACTAAAGTTAATATTTCTAAACAATGCAATAAAGTTTCAGCTAAGATTATAATTATGTTCCTTTAAGAAAAGGATAAAACATTTTTCTTCACTTAAGTCACTCATCACCTAACTTTCAGAATAATAAGCATTAACCATAGAAATTTGCTTCCTGTTTGTATCACTTCAAATGTGGGCTTGGCATTAAACAATAGTCACACACCTGAAACAAACAAAAAAAAAAAAATGAGATGTGTGCGGACTTGCCCATAAGCATAAGCTTCTGGCACATGAATGTTTGTTTTGCAACTTCACTCTTTCACACTCAGCAATTGGTATAAACCACTAATATTGCACCCAAAAATACATTTTTAATTGTTTGACTGACACAGCAGCAAGGTCAATGGCTTCAGGTTCACATATGTGGGAAAATATTCAAACTGTGTCTTCATTTCAGTGTCTTAAGAAAATGTATAATTCTTGCACCACTGGCAAATTTGTTCAAAACATTAGTTTCAACTTACGGCCAAGTAAACATTATTTTTTAAATAATATAAATCTACTATGTGGCCTTCTTAAAGAAATCAAAATGCCTAGAATTGGGATTTCCCCATGAACCCCATTCCACAGTTTTCACAGAACTGATAACTATTTGTTTGTTTTTTACTAAACCAAAGTGTTGCCACAGTACTTCCTAAAGTATTTAGTTCGAGTAGAATAAGGAAACTGTCAATAACCCTGATTTAATTGTCTTTTCTCTGTGTAAGGCATCTACATGTTGGCTGGTGGCCACCATGTTATTTAAGTGAGCACTCGTCTCGTTAAGAAGACCATCAACGTTATTTAGTCTCGAGGGGGATGCACGAGGTAATAGTTAACAAGCATAAGGCTAACTTACAATAAAGTAAGTTGTCCATTTAACAGACTGGCTATTACATATCTATTGGCGCATTATAAGCTGAGCACGAGCATTTTAATATCTTGTTCAAAGCCACACGGATCAATATCGGTCCTGTTAACGTTGCCTTTCGAGAACACAATGAGCTAAAACTAATTGAAAAAGTCGCGTTCGACTAGAATCAATTCAACTCGAAACACGTTCCTCCGACAACGCTAGTTTCATGACAACGGAGAAGTGCAACACTTCACCCGTTCGTACTTACGTTGTTGGCTTGATTTGTTCAACGGCTGCTATAAATGTTAACGCAGAAAACAAAACATAACAATACACTAACACTACGCAGGGAACGTAACCGAATGCGGACGCGAGGACATTAACTTTAGCAAAGAACATTTTCATTGGTCGGGACCAAGCTGAAGAAACTCACCAAACAATACATACCACCTCAGAATTTCCGGATTAATATTGATACTGATACTACGAGCAACAACAAAAAAAACAAGGAGGGCTATGCTGTTTGTGTGTGTTGCTTCATCGTTTCACACTACGCAAATGCTGGTGGACAGCTCACCTACTCAATTGTTTGAATGTGAATCATATTTGTTCTACTTGTCGAGTCCTCACTGTGCAGCTGTTGAATTCTGACGCGCGTTCGCTCAGCTACTCCCGAGGGGAAGATGGAGCGCGTGCACGAGAGACCCCCCCCCCCCCAAAAAAAAACAACAGGACAGTCACGTGCTCACGAATGTCAGAAAATGATTAGTGCACATAAACATACAATTCGTAGCTATTAAACCGCAATAAAAATGTGACTCTAAAAAACTAACATTATTCCGTATTTAACGTACTAAGTCTCGGTGAGAGCTACCTACTAGCTTGGGCAGGTAACAAAAATATCCTGTCAATTTAATGACCGTAACAAGGTCTAATTCGTGCTTTAAAAAACACACAATATACAGTGAAGTCTATTATTTGGAGCACTGCTTTATTCATATTTACAGGCCTTGAACGAGTCTGTTGATAACACAGCTGAAACTATTCTAATATAACAAGGAGTCAATGTGGGGATACACGACTCTTGAGGAGAAAAGTGGATTTAACTTACCTAGACGTACTTTCACCATTCGTTCTCATGCATCAGCCACCATGTGGAGGTGGGGGAGGGGTTAGTAGTCGAACTTTTCAGTTACGTGAGTTTTTTTTTTTTTTTTTTTTTTGCAGAAGCAGGTTGGTTGAGTCATAAGAAATTTCAGGTTCTTCCTATTTCATGGAACAAAGCCCACAAAAAACTGCTCGACGTGGACCAGTTTCAAAATTTCATTTCCATTTAAGTGTGACACCACCAAGGTGTGGTATTAGATATAAACCTATGTTTCCTGTTTGTAATTATAGAAAATGCCAAATGTTATATGTAGTACAAGATACAATGACAAATTATTTAGCTATACAAAAACATACGAATTGAATACATTGATGTTTTTTTAGATAAAGGATATAATATACAGTAAGCCCCCAGATGCCAGTTAAAAAGCGACCCCTCCTCCACTATCTAAACTCTCAAAAGATACACTGATGCTTTCTAATGCTTTACATCCCATAATCAATGAAGATATTCAGTAGACTTTAGTATACACTCATTACTCAGAAAACACTGTCCCTCCCCCCAAAATGGCAGTAATGTCTGGGAGGAAGAAAAAAAACTTTATCTGCAACCACTCCCAGAGGAACAGAGAACAAAGACTCCATTTGCCAAAACTATCTCCCACATTAGTCAAGGGGTTGTGGCCTTAAACTCCCCCAGTGTTTTTTGCCTTTACTGGTATATTAAAAAGTTGTTTTCCAATCTTTGTTATTACGAAAGAGGTCAGAGCATTTTCTCTGTCGACTGTGTAATAATAACACCGGTAGATGCACAGGTTTGGCAAGCTGAGCACACATACTGTGTCCTTGAATGAGTGTGTTTATGCTGCACATTCCAAGATACCAGGGAACATAATCGCAAGCTCATATTCGAACATAAAAGTGGATTTCATATAGTATTTTTTAAGGTATTCCTTATTTAACCGTCTCCTTCAGTTTAACCGTGCCTGACTTGGACTAAATGCTTAAGATTTCCATACGCTGAAATTAAAACTTTTCCCTTTCATCTTCAATTCTGTGATTTATTTATGGGTATTTTGTTTGCGACATCTCTTGGTCCTGTTACTCAAACAAGTCTAGTATGTTAATCAAAGGCACCACATGTGACACATCCAGGCCTCCCGCTTATATCCTATTGTTCTGCCACCACAAAGGCTCTGTGCAAAAACTATGGGTCTGAAACAGAAGGGTGATGCCTTGGGATGATGAAAGTTTCAGATTTTTCAGCCCACAATAACACACACACAACAAAACTTTATTAGAACGTGCTAGTTTCTTTGTAACCCAACACTTGTGCTTGCTCATTGATTTATTGCTGTATTCTCTCCATGTCGCGGTGATGTCAGCAACAAGTGGCAAACATTGAATACTTGTAATTTATCTGATTACCTTTGTGCTATTGTTTGTCATCATGCTAGTTTCTCGTTTCTTCCAAAAATCCTGCAGATTTTTTGTATCAGAGTATTCCTTTAGAGAAGTTAACATATGCATTTGACATTATGCCAAAGGCAGTAAATTCTACTTAGACGTGAAGTCTTTGAAAAACCTCACCGCTTGAATAAATGAATGTGCAATCAGTTGAAAAAACACCCTGATAGGAACTGGATCGACGAATAGTAAAAGGCTGTGGTGGCTTGTTTTTGTCTCAACGTGTTAGGAGCAGCTGACTGCATTGTTCTCCCCAAGATTCACAGTCTGGCTTCTTTCATAATCCTGGTGCCGCCTCTGAAGGACACTGATAATATATAATCTTCTTTCTCACTCCTAGCACCAAAATGTTTATTCAGTGCTGCCAGCTGTTGTGTTGTTGGTCATCGGAAAAAATTTAATCAGACTCTGAAAGCATTTCTCAATGTAAATCTCCTAAGTGTGTGCTTAGATTTTTTTTTTCCTTCTTCCCTGTGGGGAGAAGAGGTAAAGGAGGGGTCTCTTTGTTCTACTGCTGGAATCCTGCTGCTGGTATCTCTTTTGATCTTAAGAAATGTTTTAAATATTTGAATTAGCCTTTGTGCCACTGCAACTTCCCAATGTTATACACTAATCCATGGTAAAGTTAGAATACAGCCATTGTTTTTATTTAGTTTGCCACTCTTAAAGAGATTATAGATAAATAAATCAGTAATTAGTCTTTTTCTAAGATTAATTTGATTAAGAATGGAAGCCTGTCATAGATTTTTCTAAATAACACGTTTTGGACAAGCAAAGAACAATATTACACTTGCTGTTTTCTCCTGTTAAACACAGGCTAAATAATCTTGATATATACATATTTCCTTTTTTTAGTTATTCCACTTAACACTGACCTATGAATCGTTTAATGATAACAGGGCACCTGTCATGTGACGGGCCAGTGCTGTTTCTGCATATAAAAGACAACATAACTTTTATTATTTGAAACTTGACTCATAACCGACACATATTTCTATTGACTCTTTAGCTGAGTCAACAAAAAGGCCAAATAAAACACAACTGTACAGACAGGAAATAAGCAAATCAGCACCAACATGATGATTACCAAAGAGCTACTAGCTAAAAACTTGGCATGTCCATGCTTATTGTGCAGTACGCCCTTTAAGAAAATCCAGGAGAAGAGGTAAGTGGACAACAAAGAGAGTGTTAAGTGTTTCAGTGTACAAGTGTTATGCCCAACAAAGAAAAATCGCACACTATCTAAACCAAATCAACACCATCCAAATGTGATGCAGCCAACATCATTTACAGGTAATTTAAAAAGTCTGGACAGCTACTCCTTAAGACCGCTTATAGAAATGCCAAACAATCATCTTATTGAATGGAGCGCAGATACAATAATTGTCTTTAAAAGTTTTCTTAACTCTTATGTAGGCTAAAATGTCAGGATAGCTTACCATCGTTATTCCAAATAGGATAAAAAATAGTAGCTATTGGAGCAGGATGGAACATTTAATTAAAAAAAGTACATTTTATAACAGTCCCCTGACACTATTTGCATTAGAACGCCTTCCTTAAGAGAAAGAAATATGCACACCAATGGTTAAAGTAAACAAAATAAAGACTAAATCGCTGCTGTTAAGTTGTTGGTCAGCTCATAATTATTGGATAAAGTCTTGTTTCTGGCCCACCCTTGTATCTCCGTGTTGTGCAGACGGTTTCTAGCTCATTAGTGCTGACAGCAGATCTCCTGTAAGGCCTCCCTACCGACTGTGGTGCTTTGTAACGGGATGAAATACAGCAACATGGAGGCCCCAGCTGCTGAACCACTGCAGTGTGTACACAGCCTTTGCATTGTTGAGCTCACAGTTACGACTGAATCTGGACCAATAAGCCTGTCAGTTGGTTTGATCGTTCGCGTGTGATTACACAATATGGATAATGTAGATCTTATAAGATTTGAATGTTTTTAAGATTGAATAATTTGTCCAATCAAGCTCATTTTCAAGTTTAAATTCAAACAGTTTTCGGGCTAAAGCAATGTTTACATCCAATGATAGCTACACACAGCCTGTTACTCTCACAACATCGTGATTCATTTTTGTACCTTTGGGGTCTTTGAGAAAGTTTGACTCTTTACTTTCTTACTATGCTCATTAAGATTCGGTTGTTTTTTTTAATCTACTGGTTTCATCAGCTCTGCTTTGATAAGCTCTTCATATGTAAGAGAAACTGCTGGCAAGATTCCGCGTCGCATCTTAATTGAAGTGATCCTCAGGGGGAAGGGAACTACAATAGAGCGCATGTCTGAAACAGTAGCAAACAGTACCTCTTTTCTCCTCCAGTGCTGTGGTAATTACCTTGATGCTCAATTTAGAATGATTACTTATTGTAAACAACAATCCAGAAACAGAGTGCTTCTTTGATGACAAAAGGGGGCAGCACGAGTTATGCCTTCAGGGGCTGTGACTCATCACTTAATAATCAGAAAATAGTGGGCCTCTGTCATTTCTGTCCAAAATGTCTGGGGATTATGGCATCAGATATAGGGATTACATAAAAGTAGATCTGAAGTCTCATTTACCTCTAACTGTTTAAGTTCTTTGGGTCTTTTTTATGTTTACTGGTTCCCAATATAGCTGGTTTTCTGAAGAGTATTGTTGCCTCACAGCGAGAGAGTTCCTGTTAAGAATCTCCAGAGGGTTTTTCTTTGTGGAGTTTGCATGTTGCCCCTGTTTATGCATAGTTTCACTCCGGGTGTTTCAGTTGCCTTCCACAGTCCAAACACATCCATGCTAGAATTGGTGATTTACAATTGATGATTCTAAATTGCCCAAATGAGTGACTATGGGGTGTGTGTGGTTGTTTGTGTCTACTCCCCATTGACTCCAAGTTAAACAATTCAAAGAATTTTGAAGTTAAGTCAAATTAAAATTTACTTGACTTGTTGCCATGTGATGAACTGGCAACCGGTCTGGGGTGTGCCCCACCTCCTGTCCTAGTGGAATAGACAATGGAGGCATGAGTGTGATGATTCCGAATTATATATATTGATATATATATAATTTCTACAGTTTCTCTGCATCTGTCTGTTACAGTAATGCAATTAAACATATAAACTAGTAAAAAGACAATACATTTACAATTTTTCTGAAGTTTTACTGCCATCCATCTATTCTCTACACTTGCTTATTCTAAGTCAAGGTAACAGAGGGGGGCAGACAACCTTGTATGCTAAGGGTTTAAATATCATAAAAACACCAAACGTAATCTGGTCCTTTCCAGGTCTTAAAATGGAACCTCAAAAGAGCATAGACACATAAATGGCACAAAAATGATACATAACATACAAAACAAGCCAGAAGAAGTATGGCAGAAATAGATACCACACTGTTATTGTTTATAGAACCAACTTTATGGATATAGCTTGAAGTGATCACGTTCTGTACGACATGAAGTATCTCATAGTGAAACTTTAGCCCATTCTTTACAATCTTTTCATTCAGATTTGCTTGCGTTTTTCCCCAAATTTTCTCCATTACTTAGAATTATTTCTATGTTACATTAACATTTTTGGTTGTTGGTGGTAAGATGGTCACATACACAAAGGTGTTCACAGTGTCCTGGCTCCTTAACCCTCCACCTCTGTGACTGTCATCTTATTTAATATATTTGTTCTGATATCCTGTGTTTAGTTGTCATCCAGCATGGCGCTGTGCTTTGTAACCAAAAATGTCAACTTTGGACTCGTCTGTCCGTGTTTCCGAATTCTTGTTGTTTATGAAGATACAATTCTTACAAACCAAAACCCTGGTGCCATACTATTTTCAGAAAGTAGATCCATATCTCTTCTTCGGTATTTCTATAAGTGAAATATGATTAACTTTAACATTAACACAAGCCCTCTATGCTCACTTGTAACTTTTACTATTTTCATTGAACTAGTCATTCATTTAACTTTTCATTGTCTGTCCATAGCAGTAAATTCCCCAAAATGTTGACTTTTAAAAAGCTATATTTTCAACTTTAGAAATCTTTCTCACTGTTGAGTGGACTTAACAGCACTAATAATCCTTCGATATTTTATTGGGAACAAAAACCGCTTCTCCAAGATCATTGTTAATGTCTTTCCTTCACATCATTGTCATACATGTTTGACAAAAGGAACATTCTTTAACCTTTGCTTTTATAGAGGTATTTTTATACTTAGGACAATCCGATTTTATTACGTCCATAGAATTGAAAGAGGGTGTAAATTCTTTCTCAAATGACTAAAGCCAATGGCCTCTGTGGTTAAGTGTGACTCACATACCACTCCTTAATAGTTTACAGCATGTTCTTCCACATTTCAAAAACCTGCTATGTTGGATCAAGACGGTCATTGCAGTTATTTAACCTAATATGTTGACTTATTCAAAACACCCAGTCATTTTACATTAAACCTAACTCTTATATTTTGAAATGATTATGAACAGACACACAGTAAACACTTTTATTGTCTTCAAAATAGCTGAGGTTACATATACAGACATGCATATAAGCAAACATAATAATAATAATGTACCTTGGCCATACATAAGTGACGAACACCTTCAGACTTTAAATGAAAATTTTTGACAAAACAAGTGCTGTGATGGAGTTAAAAGCTCATTGGTTGTGATTTTTCCACTGCTGCAAAACATATCACAAGGACACAATTGCACAACATTATTTTTCCATCTCATGCAGATTTGTTAACATTAGTATTTACAATCGGTTGCCCAAAGAAAAGTAAGGATTGTGATTTTCCATAAGGCCTGCTGTATAACAATTATTTGACTGTGATTTAGTGTATATATAGCCAACAGTGAGATAAAACAAATATAAGTGCAATATGCTATATAGACTACTTATTTCAGCTCATTCTAGGGCTGCACATTTGAATATCTATGTATAGTACCTGTTTCAGTTTAGTTTCACATCACTTTCTGTATCATTACTTCTGTATGAATGTCCATGTCTGAAGTGTAAAAATAGAACCTTTATGACGTTGCGTTTTTAAGTTTTAAAGTAGTGAAAGAGTAATTGGCTGAAGCACAGTACTTCACTATATTTTGCATAAGCGCAGGATGTTAGACTGTTAAACAGTGAGAAGTCACATGATGCCTGAATGTCTGTAGAAAAGATTTCACACTCACTTTTGCTGTACTTTTCAGGACATTTATGTGATCAAAAAATATATATATCTCAACAAGGTTGCCATTGTATCGGCCTTTGGCCACACACCAGCCTCTCAAGTTCAACTACTTTCTTTCAACTCTCTTTGTTCACTTTCTATTACCCTCCCAGGATTATTTCATAGTGTAATGTCTAAAAAAAGTGGTTACAGTAATTAGGGATGGGGTTGATGATCTTGATAGAGACAGAGATAAAGACTAAGTAAGAGCACAGGGGTGGGGTAGTCGAGGAAAATTAAGGATTTATTTGGCTTTCTCTGCTGCTGGAGCAACTGTCACTGGTTCTGTCTGGACCCCAGCATCTGTTGAGTGACGTTTCTGACCCTAAAGGGAGCGAGAGAAAAAAAAGGAAATGCTAATTTAATTGCCAAACCAAATGCATAACAATATCTGGAGATGGAAATGACCCTGTGTTATTTTTTGTTACCATTTACTGAAACTTTAGGTTTTTTTTCTCTGATTAAGTCAGATCAAGGACCAAGTCAAGTCTATAGACTGTAAGTCAACAGCACAAAACCACAACTGTGCATAAGAATTCCAACTGTATGACATGATGTGGCATGTAGGACTGTTTTGCTTTTATCTAAGTATAGATACATCTCAGATAGTACAAGTTTTTGCTGCCATCTTGTGGATGCAATATCAAAATAAATTGCACTGAGTAATTCATTACGAAAATAGTTATGTGAAATAATTAAAATACTTGTTTTGCGCATTATATGTGTCACATTTCTCCTTTGATGTTGTAATTAGCGGTCTGACGATGATCTTCTTACCAGATTCTTAAAGAACAACTGGATGGAGTTCCTCTTCTCCAGTTTTCTTGGCACGTTGGGTGCGTCGTCTCCGGATTGGGAAGCCACCGATGCCGGTTTGCTTTCTACGACTGCCTCCGGGGACTTGGCCGCCGCTTTGGGTTCCTCCTTTGCTTTAACCGCTTGTGCCGCCTCCGCTTCTGCAGGCGGGGTCGGGGTCATCTTCTTGGGGTCAGCAGCCTGGAAACGATTTTTACGAAGAACTGAGTCATCACAGTCTTCGGTCAGCTTTGGACCCAGTGATGGATGCTTAAAAGTGTGTATTATTAAGCCTATATTGACAGTGAGGCGGTATTTTAAGGGACATCATTCGATGTTAGGATACACTGTCTTAGTGATTACAACATTATGAAAGATGATCACAGACATTCTGATTAAACACAACAGCAAACAGAGAGCGAGAGATACATCGATCTTGTTTAGAGCACAATTTAATGCCAGATGTAATTGATGACATTACTCTGGTTAATGGCGCGTCCACTCACAAGAGATCATTTTTACTGTATTTACCAGTCCGGTAGTTTTCCTGATGAGCCGAACTCCACTTGTGGAGGCTGCTTGGACTTTTGTGGTCATGTGATCTAACAGTACCTCAAATTAACATTTATCTGTTACTTGCTGTCAAGTAAGTCAACCACACTGCATACCCTGATATCAGGGGTTTTAAAGGCTTAAAAAAAAAGGGTTAAGATAGTAGGGTCCTTACTTTGGGCTTGAAAAATGAAAACAAGGATGATTTGGAGTCCGCTTTCTTTTCTTCCTGGGCAGGTGGTGGTGGTTCTGGCTTGGCAGCAGCTTCCAGAGTGCTGGTTTTTGAGGGATCCACCTTCTTTAAAAAATAATAATAATAAAGCACCAAATTAAATCCATATCAGGAGAATTAGAAAAAAACTTTAATGCTCTTGACAGAGTGAGAGGAAGAGCTGCCACCTGTGACAGGAAAGAGGAGGAAAAAATGGTAAAAGTCTCCAAATCAGAATCAGACGTGTAAGAAAAGAGACCCACACCTTTATTGAAAAAACAAAAAACAGATGTTAAAAAGGATGGAAATGCGTTGAAAAAATAAATTGTCAATCTGGATAGAAGACTTCCACCTTGAAACAAACAGCAAAAAAAGTCCGCCATTTTGGGAAAATCATCATTTCTTTTCTGAAATTATTTTCTGAAACTTCACTTCTTCACTGTACTTCTAGATATGCAACACATATCATTGCTGTGCTTTAGAATTTATACTGGATGTGATATTAGAATCACACCTTACTTTGATAAAATGATGAAAAATAACAAGAAACAACATTTTCCCAAAATGCTGAACTACATTTATTTACCTCAGCTTCAACAAATGGTTGCAGTACATCTTCAATCATCTGTAGGATAAGGAAAGTTCAGCTTTTCTTCTTTTTGTGTGAAAGTATCGGACTTTGCATGATCTAAAGTTTACTGACTATCAAAATACCCTCTTTCCTAAAAGATGAATTGATAGAAAATAGTAGAAAACAGCATGAGACCTGTAATTTAAACTTTTGTCCTCTGAATGATCCCCTTTGCAGATTAATTCAAGCAACCTGTTTCAGAAAAATGTTTCCCACGCTATCGCCTCACCTTTTACTATTCATAACATCCTGCGAGCGTTTGAGAAATGTGGATCACCTCTAGTTTTGAAAGTGAAATGTTTTCCACCTCTTGCTTGACATACAAAATTCTGGATGTTCAATAATTTGTGCTTAGATGTCATGTTTTGTTTAATCATTTGGACTCTTTTATTGAGTTTGGTTTCCTCCTTTGAATTAATTCATTCTGCTATTTTGTTTTCTTTTACTACAAGAGCATTTAAGAAAAAAATTATGTTTTCTACATCATTTAGTTTTGTCAAGCATTTATGCATGAAGATGATGATGTATCCATAACTTCTTTTTTATTTCAGGTCCCGTAATAAGAAATAGTATTATTCATTAGTTGAATAATTACTTTTAGCTTCTGTTTCCCTTTGCTGTGGCATCATGTTATTGTTTTTGTTTTTTTCTACCTAATATATAAGATAAGTGATTTATATTATGAAAGTTTTGTATAATGTTCATCTTTCCAGAATGTTGACTAATTATGTTAATCATTTTTAATTGTGGGAAAAAATTGAAATATTGATAAAGATAAAAGATGTTTTTGAAAAGAGAAAGAGATCTTGCATGAACCATGCCAAAACACAGGGGAATGCAATTACATTGTATCAAGTTTTATAAGAAACACATTTATTCATGCTTTCATTTGTTTCCCTTTATAGTTCCTCATTATAATTAATTCCAATCTAATTCCAATCTAATTATTCTATCATTGTATGTATATATATAATAATTTGATTGGAATTAGTTATAATACGTTATAATTAGTTATAATGTGGAACTATAAAGCCAAAAAAAATGAAAGCATGAATAAATGTGTTTCTTATTAAACTTGATACAATGTTATTACATTCTATATATTATAATCAATATATTCCTGGCACTTCTTGCTCATTCACCTGCACTTCTACTACTTGTTGAAGTACCGCCAGTGCTGCCTCCTGAGGTTCAACCTTACTTTCAATCTGAGCAAATGCAAAAGAAAAAGGTGTATAAATAGTCATGTAGTAAAGATGATAATTCAGTCCCATTCCTGACTAAAGAAAACCCAAAGATTGAGAACTTTCCATTTATTTACCTGCACATCCACAACAGGCTGTGGAACCTCCACTGGTGTCTCCTGCAAAGTAAACCTACTTTTATATTCTGAGCATATGAAGATTAATTTGACGACACAAAATTCTGTGATAGGCTGTCCTGTTATGAAGAAAAACATTACTTTACATTTAGTTTATGACTAATTCCTCTCAGGGGAAAGCCAGAGCATACAGTTTCAGTTTCACCCCAGCAAACATCAAACATTCACCAAAATATATTCAAGATTGTCTGTAAACATTAAACAGAAATTTTAAAGGTTTACACGACTCCTATAGCTTTGTGCAATGCCTCCTTGATTGTCAGTTGGACAGAGAAGGTAGTTTTACAAAAAACTGTAAGAAGAAAAAAAAAGTCACCTCTTGTATAAAACACATCAAGTTGTAATTTTGAAGCTAGTAATGTGTTAGCATCGCAGTGGTGAATGACTTATATGGAGTGGTCAAACTAATAGTTGACATGCCTTGGATAAGCCAGTGAAAATGGTTTTACATTGTTGCATGTGTATGTAAGCAGGAAACAAAAACTAAATGTAAAATAGCGTGGAAAACACCCTCGAGGCCCCAAAACTTTTCTACAGGGCTATTTGGATCACACTGGAATTAAGTGGAATTTAGCTAAAGCTATTCAGTATTTCAGGGACCACAGTGACAAATGCTGTTTGTCGAAAAATACGCAATTCAGCGTCTGTGAACAAGGGAGAAAGGAAAATAAAACACAACAGTTGCTATTCACAACCCTTAAAATGCTCACCAAAAAGAAAAGAGAGTCCCTGACTAGCTGTACACTTGGCAATGTTAAGCTAGGTTCTTGAGGAACTTTAGCGCAACTGTTTTACTTATTACTGAAACTAAACTAAAACAATTGACTTCTTATTGTTGTTTAGTTTTATCCAAATACTTTAATATGCAAATGTACTGACAGATTTATCAAATGCACTTAGCATTGTAGCATTTGATTTAGCTTTAGCATATAAGGTAACTATGTTTGGACCCTAAAATTTAAAATTTTTAAATCTTACATCTTGACACTCCATCCCCCCCAAGAAAAAAAAGAATTAAATCAACTAATGGTATGACATCAAGTGATCAAAGAAGCTTATGTTGAACACAGAGGACAAAACATTTTAAAAGTTTAAATTAACAGTGAGCTCCAGAGGACCATTTGTGATTAAGCGTGCATACGTTCGGCACACATTCATTTCATCCAAATGTTTGTTTGTTTGTTTTTTGTTTTTTACGTAGACATACAAATCTCCAATTGGAAAAATGGAATCTGGACTTCCAATAAAACAATCAAAGGGAAAATTGTGGACTGCGCTTGATGATAAATTGCACCTTTTTTTTTTTTTTTGAGTTGAGATGTGAGTTTCTCAACAGGAAAACTACCTTACACAACTGCTGCATGTGTTATGAAACAGCAGTTGGCAAGTTTCTGCCACCTCCATGCACATCATCTTCCGTTGTGTTAGTATGCCCATGAACCATGGTCAGTTTGAGAGTATAATAATCCACTTTACCGCTGTGGGAGGCCTGGTATTGGCTCCACTCGCTGTGGCACCCTTGCCTAAGGATGTTTTGACTCGTAGCAGTACCTCAAATTCACACGTTTACACTATGTTACAATTAAAAAATACCTTAAAAATGTAAATGACCAACTTTTCCCATTTGTAGCCATTTAACCGTACCATCTAAAGTTATGGGCGTTTCTTTACCTTTGGGCGGAAGAATCTGCTGAGAGTATCTCTGGCTGATTTTCCTCTCGAAGTCTCGGCCTCCTTTGCAACTTTTGGATCTTGTTTTGGTGCTGACTTTACGGGTTTAGCAGCAGGCTCTCCCTTGATTTCCATTTTTGGTGGTTCTGGGGGAGGTGGCGGTGGAGCGGGCATTCCTTTGGGAACTGCAGGCGGTTCAGATATTTGTGCAACCTTTTTAAAAGAAGAGAGTAGATCTATTATATAAATAAAAGACAACTATATAGAAGTTGACGCAAATTAAAGATATTATATATCTTAAAACATTAGAAATTAAAATATCTTTTTTGGATGCCCGTTGAATAGCATTTGGCTTATCAAAACGCTTTCATAGACTATATGCTCACAGTAGTGGGTGCTGCAGGTGGAGTCTCCATCAGGGACTATTTTTTAACGGAAAAAAGAAGCAGTTAGAAAATGCAAAATAAATTTGAAGCAAGCAATTGTCAGCAAAAATCATATCCCTGCGAAATGCTAATTTGCCTTTTACATAACTGTCATTACGATTGCTTTGAAAATAAAAATACAACATGATATTAAGTAAGAGAAGAAGTACATTTAACACTAAATGTCTGTTCACCTGATCTTTTGTTGCATCGTGTGCAGCTGTTTCCTTTTTGGATGTTTTGGTGGGAGTCACCTATGAAATGATAGAATGCAGCAAATGAGGAAAAATGTAATATATTATCCAAAATGGCAAGTGCTGAATTCCATAGCATGATACTAATATATATGTCTGCATAGCTGGAAAATAAGGATTTCAGAGACAAAGGATGTAGCTGATGTAACCAGAACAGAAAAAAAATGACTGTAAAAGAGCAGCCTTTCAAGAATTCAGTCATAGTCCTTTATGGGAGGCTAACTGAGGTGGACAGAGTGCACACTGAGGTCCCTGACAGAGCACATACAGTACATGCGCTGTCATTGTGCCGGCCATTGTGCTCTGGGGATGGCGTAGGCCTGCACTCGCTCTATCTTCGCGAATCTCAACTTCCAACCGCACAGGCCTTCCTTGTGAGCTCACACTATGGGACGAACAATAGGCCGTCACATTCCCGCATGTTCAAAGGCTTGATTAGCATGGGGCCGGGGCAATGGTAACTCTTTAAAACGGCATGATTCCAAAAGTCAACATGATGAAGAGGGAATACAATAGCCCCCCTGTTTTTTTTGGTTTTCCACTGTCACTGTCATTGTGGTAAATTTGGTTATGAAACCTTAGTTTAATTTCATATACAATAAAAGAGTTCCTCTACATTGAATAAAGTGGTTGACAAAATACCCAACAAATCAAATCAAGTCATATCTTTGCATTTATTGATTGGATTTGCTTACAATCTGTGCATAATTCAGCTTTTAGTAAAGAATTGTTTGATGGTTCGAAAACAATTTCTATCCTCTCTTTATCTAGGCAGTTGATTCTCTTGGAGGACATTTTTCCACATAGCATAGATTTTTTTTTCTTAACCTTTTAATTCTAAAACACAAACATGGACAATCAAAAACATAGACAGATTAAAAACCGGTCTTACTTTTGTAAATAGTGTCACTTACTAGTGTTTTGAAGAAGTTCATAACTGGATTTTCCTCTGCGTCGCTATCCTCTTGGCTTTCCACTGGCTGACCGTTTCCGTTGGCCGTTACGGGAACTTTGTCCTCCTCTGGACTGGAGACTAGAATCACAGCCTCTGGCGGGGGTTCTGAGTCTTGCTTTAAGTTATCTGTCTCCTATACACCAGCACAAAGAATTAGCTTATGAGAATTATGTTAGAGCAACCGCTGCTGATATATAAGCAGTGAGTGTCTTAATCGCAGCATTGAGAGGGGAGCACAATTCCAACCATGCCTCTGCCTACTCGGGGCATTGTCAACAATCATCCTTTTATTAATGTGAGTGTCCCACCCCTCACTCATTGATATTCAACAATGTGTGAGAGTTATGCCCTGAGAAATGCCTGGAAAGTTAACTACCTTGCCAAGTCTTTATGGCTAGTGTCTTTAATGTATCTGGATTGATTAAAAAAAGGGTTTGCTTTTTTCTTCTATCTTTCTTTATTGTATATCTGTTTGTGCTTTTTTTGTAAGACTTCATTGACTTTGGCTTCTATAAGAGCTTATTTATCACTTAAGAGAAATGACTCTGAAAACATTCTTAACAAATGTCTAAAAAAGAACAAAAAGAATCTTAATCTGCTCAATATTTCGGTTTTCTTCTTTCTTTTTATTGAAAATGTTTCCACAAGCTTAGTTTTGATTGGTAATGCAATCCCTAACAGTGGCTCTGAGCAGGTCTTTTCACAATGTATTTTGATTTTTCATCACACAATACATGAATCGATATCTAAAATGAAAAATAGAAAGAAATAATTCATTTTCATTCTCGGAAAGCATGTTAGACAAAAGAGTCATTCCTATTATTATGTAGCTCGATGTTCTTTTGATATATTAATGGGTTACTTAGAACTGCAATTTTTCTAGCTTGAAATCTCTGAAATTTGATTGCTTTCAGCATCAACCACAAAGTCCTAAAAGATTTCCCTGGGATGTCACTGTGAAATTCAAATCATTCTCAACTGGCATCCTCTCTTATATCTGTTATGCCCTTTCTTTCTGTGCACCATTACACTGCTTCAGTGCTCAGGTCTGCATGGTTGTTCCAGTAATTTTTGCAGACTTATGACTCAACAAGATCCTCTGGGGGGAACTTTCAAAGAGGGGTAAAAAAGCTATTGGAACGATAACTTTCTCTTCTCTTCCTCGGCCCTGTTGTATCTTATAGACTTCTGATTTTGGTCTTTTAGGAGTTTAAATTCCTGAGAGAGGGCCTCAGTTGTCTTTCAAAATATTAAAACCAGGCTCTGAGTCCACTACTGTTTGTAATCCCACCACAGCCATGGCTTCTTTCCCAATCTGGACAGTCTCCTCTGGAACTAGGAGTTCGTCAACAGTTCAGCAACAGACTCATTTTGGACTTTACCAAAAGGAAAACTTAAACCATGCTGAAACTGTTCTTTTAAGCTGGTGAGCTCATAAAGGCCATCAACAATTAATATACAGTATCTGCCTTTGGACAGCTTTTCCAGCACTATTTCTGCATATTTGCAGTCAGAGGGCAGACTTTTGTTTGCAGACTTCCTTCTAAAACATCCACACCAGTAGCATCAATATTAGCCGTGATATCCTCATGAGGACATTCCGCTTTGAAAAGAATTTCAGACTCCAACGGGACTATAAATTCTTTCACAGGAATGTCTGAGTTTTGCAGGGAAACATCATGGCTTTTCAAGAATACCTCGGATATTCTTTCTGTCACTTTAGTAACTGGCTCCTTATTAACGGAGAGAATGTAATTTTCTACCTGTATCTTAGGAGTGACAGCATTAGATTCAGGTTTGGCTCTTTCATTCTCGATAATGTTAAAAAAAAATGCCTCCAACTCTTTAGCTTTTTTCCTCGGTAAGTGCTTCGTCGGCTACAGAATCTGTTGTGACTACAAGACTGTAATGAGATGTTTCAGAGACAGATGAAAAAACTGTTCCATCACAGCTGAACACCGTATTTGGAAAGCAGAAAAGAAACTCTGCTTGTATGGTTTATTTAGATTTATATTCTGATGCAATCCTTTCATCTTCTGGGATGTTTTCAGCTGCCTTTGATTCAGGTTCTGGTGCCATTTCCTCCTCAGTTTCCCGAAGCCCTAAACCTCTACGAACACTGTATTGTCACACACATTGTTCCTAATGATGAGTATTTCCTCAGTAACAACAGAAACTGTCTGTCTGTCCGAAGTTTCATCATTTGGAGTGTCTTTAAATCCCCCTACAGACGATTCTTTCAGTGAAGCTTCATTGGAGTTAATCATGGCTATTTCTTCTAGTGGGCTCTAACTGTTTGGGTTTGGGTCATCTTTAGCTTTCACTTTGTGCTGATATTTGAGCCTCATAATGTGGGTGTCTCAATTGAGCTAATAGTGACTAATAGTAACATAATCGCCATCTGTTGATTCCTTCATTATTAAAATTAATTAATTAATTAATTAGACATTATTCACCAGTCAAGCGAGCTTGTTTCTTTTCTATTTTTACGCATTTTCAACAAATCCGATGAAAGGATCATAACTAGCAACATAATCTTATCTGTCTTTGTATCTGTCTCAAATATATAGAAACAGGATCAAAGTTAGATCTGCTGATAAAGTCATGTTTTGTTTTTAAGGTCCAAATTAATATCCACTGTTTATTTATGAAAGACTTTGTGTGACCCAGTTACAGTATGTGTTTTGTTTTTTAAACCTAATGATCTAAAAGCTATATTACATGGGAGCTTTAGAAAAAAACATTTAGGGATTTCTTTTTTTATGATTATATCAGATACATTGATTCTATTTAAAGAGAACAGTCCACTCACTTGTTTTGGATCAGAGGGAAAATTGCTTTCATCCACTTGATGTTGAAGTTTCTCTCCATCACCTTTGCGATCTTTCTTTTTGAACAGTTTGCCGAAACGTGGAGACTTTGCCTCTTTGTCTCTCTTGACATCTTCTGTCTTGTTGTTGGTTTCAGGGGTGGCCGAAATAACCTGAGCGTTGACGGGTTGTGCATCTGGTTCGACTATCGCACCGTTACTTGGTTCTGTTGCCAAGTTTAATGATATGGACTCGCCGTTCTGATAAACTGTGATGTCAGTCTTTACTGCAAAAAAGAAAGAAAGGCATTCAAAAGCCAGGTCCATTTACTTTCAAAACAAAAGTTGTGCAAATTATAATCACAAACATTTATTTTCTGAAATCTGGCAAAGAATTTTAAAAAAATATGTGGTTGAAAGCATAAATTTAAACACAACCTGTCTTTTTTTCTGTGGCCATTTCATTTTGAAAATATGTAATTTCGTGAGTACCATTTAGTCTTTGCCCTTTAAAAGTGGGGAGTCAGAGCTTTGAACTCTTTTTGTCTTTTGCTTTTCCATGAACATCAAATTCTCATCTTAATTTTTATGCTTGAAAAAATATATTCATATCAAAAAGAAAATAGCTGAAACTGCTCATCCATAAATCTAGGTCTTTAAATTTCCCTAACAGAAGATAACAATGACATGTTCTTATTTGTAATGGAATACAATAAGAAATAGTCACCCATAATTTGCCTAATCTTAACAAGCTTTTCAACATTGATCAAAGCTCCTCATATGAGGACCATCAGGACCAAAACCTCACGCCATAAAGACAGTTTCTATCTAGCAGCAACTGGCCTCATCGACAAGGCCAGTGACCCCCACCTATTCTTCTCCCACCCCCCTCTACCCCACTAATTTACCCAATGCTACTGTCAGCATTTTCTGGTCTGTCGTTGCACATCAACATTGCACATTTAAATAGTTAATTTGTACATTCAGATCTATAGTTTTAAAGATTGTATTTTTCAGTTTTATAATTTCTGTTCTATATTTTTATTTCTACATTTTATTTCCTTCCTTGCTTCTCATAGAAGTGTTGTGTTGTGCACCAAACACCAAGGCAAATTCCTTGTAAGTTTAAAAACCTACTTGGCAATAAACCTTATTCTGATTCTGATTCTGATGAGCAAGAGATAACAAAGAGGAATGGATTAACAGTGGCCCTGAAGGACAGGTTCAGGGTGTACCCTGGCTCTCGCCCAATGTCATCTTAAGCTCCAGCCCCCTCCAGCGACCCTAATAGGAATAAACGGTATGGACAATGAATGAATGGATGAACGGAACAACAGTGATTAATTTAATTGTGATTTGGACTACTCCATTACTGACTGGTATGATGTTTCCACTTTCCTATTTGCATTGTTTTTACTGCCATTGAATGTTATGCAATAAAAGTCAGTTAGCGCCAGACTAATCCAGTTACAGCCTTAAAAAAACTGTAAACATAAAAAGTAATGTGAGTAAAATATATTTTTTTTAAAGTTAAGACACCAGCAATGATCATAGAGGAGCCGCAAAAACTTTCTCCCCTGTTGTGAAAAGAGGTGTGAAGATAAGGCTGATACTGTATCACACTAATATGTGACCCAAAGTGTGGAATTGACTCTGCATAGCAAACCATGCAGGCATGCTTTAAATCATTCACATTAAGCTTTTTATTTATTAGTATTTCTTCGGAGCAATAACAACTAAAATCAATGTTTTTTTCACGCATAATTGGTAGGAAATGTCATGACTCATGCTAAATCTAGGCATCAAGTTCCTAAACTTGAATTTAGAGCTTGTTTAGGGAAGTGCACATCCTCTAGTGTATTCTATGACTGTGTACAATCAGTGGAAAATGTGCTCTACTCTAATGGTTGAGCAGGATGCTAAGGGGTTGAAGAGAGATGCATAATGGAGCTCCTTCAAAAAAGTTTAGATTTCTGTATTGGAAAATCCATGCTGCTGTTATTAATTCCAATTTTGAATTACATAGCTATCTCTCTAAGTTACAGGGTTAAGGATATTTAAATGTAACACAATGCACCTGCAACATCTAATTAATTTCTTCTTGTTTAACTCTTTATGAAGCAAACAGGGGTTTGCCAGCACTGGAAAGTGACATCTTTATCTCTAGAGTCAACATAGCTACAATTAAATAAACATTGAGTACCAGTAGGACGTGTACATGGTTACAATTGCAGCAGGGACACAAACCACACCAAGACAGGTCAAATAATCACTCCTTTTCAGCTTCTGAGACTACGCCTCTAGTTTACATAAGGAGACTTGAGAAAGAATCCAGTTGGGAGTCACTGTATTTGCAGAGTATTATGAGAATCTGGATGACTAACACTCCATGTAAATTATAGTTTGGTTGTTTTAGTGTGTCTATATGCATTAAGTATCTTCCCATACAGTGACATGTGATAAAACACAAAGGATACTTAAGAATACAAAAATATAAAACTACTCTCAAACTTATTTTTCTTTCTTAATGTACTGTAAGTATTTTAACCATTAGAATTAGGTTTATAGTACTTCAGTATTATCGTATTGTTTCTAGATTTATATGTCACATTTTAACATTCAAAGACAACATTATCATTTGCTTATTTGTGTTAACAAGGAGAAATAAAAAAAATTAAACAAAACTCACCATCAGTCTCCAAACCGTTGGAAATGGTTTTTGCAGAGATTCCATTTATGGATCCATTTTCATGTTTAGAAATGTACCCATTCTAATAAGGAAAAATGGAATCATACATCCCTGTGAGATACACAGTCCACAGGCAAAACAGAGGCACATATGTATCATGGTTTGCATGCTTTTTGAAAAATAAACTTTTTAGATGCATCAACTACAGTCCTATAGTTCAGATGTATGCTCTGCATAAACTCACCTGGGCAAATTCTTCATTAGCGGATTGCTCGTTTCCCATGTTATTCCCAGTGGGGGGGTTGCAGTTTGCCCCTCTGAAAAAACATAAAAAGAAATTAAAAAGTTGCTATGTTGCACTGACAAGAAAGAAGAACCAATTTAAAAACACATAAAAATGTCATTTAAATATTCTATATGTGCACATCATGCTTTGATCCTGGTTTATTCAGATCCTACCTTCTTGTCAAACCCCTGCAGGTTGAGTAAGTAATGTCTTCTCCGAAAAAAAAGATGATGTCTGTCAGATGGATTCTGTGGTCTTTCTAGACTGTCTTCAGAAGATGGTGTTAGCAGGCTGTTTTATGTGTGCTTTACATGGGTGTGACTGTTTTTAAGCAATCAGTTGGATTTCATCCAGTAAAAGGAACACCATCCGCCCCTCAGAGCTTTAATATTTTTAGTCAGTTAATGTGATCAGCCCATTCAATATGTAATATATTTGTAAATTATATTAAAAGAAAACCAAACAAGACCATGATGAGGTTTCTTCTCCTGTCAGTGGCTTGGCGTTGCAGTGAATATTCACTGACAAATACAATGGAGAGTAACAGGATGTGTGAAGGATATTGGGCTGGCACGCCACCATGCCGACAAACAAAAACAAGTGCGTGTGCCCTTCCTTATATATTTGGACGTCCTAATTTGATTTGAGGACATAACATTATGGATTTTAATTTGAATTGGTCAAATAGGCCAAACAATGGCAAATCTTTTCTACCATTACTACTGTTAAATTGTTATGACACAAGGTCTCCCTAATAGTTTCCACTTGGGCTTGTCAAACCATCATGAATGCTTAAGAGATGTTCATGGACCAGAGACAAACTCAGCTCTCAGCATTAGTGTGTGTGTATGTGTGTGTGTGTGTGTGTGTGTGTGTGTTTACGTCTTCCATGGTCTTCCTGACAAAGGCTCCACCCTTTGTATCCTTCCCTAGAATGTGTACAAACACAAACACACATATGAATTCATTTTTGCATGCAGCTTAAAAGCAAATCGAGATTATCTCAGAAAGTATACGTTTAATTTTGCACAACAGATCTTGGAATTTACAAGCACAATATTCTGATTGTGACCTATAGTGGGCACACTATGGTGGGAGTTGGATTTTCCTGTCTGACCCATGCATTTACAATCTCACGCACAGGCTGTAGCTGAGGGTCTTCAAGCACACTGTTCATGGGGAACCAATTCATTACAGCTTTCTAAGCTTAATTTGAAGATGTTGTTGTGCTTCAATTGATGAGATTGATAGAAGTCATGCTTTACAGATGTATTCTGCAAATATTTGACGTTGGGTGCAGTACTGTTTGCGATCCATAAGTACACAGAGCAGCAGTTCCGGTTGATCTACTTGTGTCTGCCCTTTTTTGTGGTGATAGGATGATATTGTTCAGCCAATCTGTCTGAATTATTGCTTGGAGTGGGACAGGGTATTCGTACTGATTAGAATAAGTTAAAAAAAACATTAACATTAGATACAGGATTTCTTGGCATGGCTTTATTGATGGCACATTGAATAGTATAAACATTTTAAACAATATTGCATTAGATCAACTTTAAGATATGTTTTGGAGAATTCATGGCTATTCCAATGTAATCCAGCAAGGAGAAACTTTGATAATCTGATGGTGTCAAGAGGCAAAACGCTGAAAACTGACTGAAAATGTGGGCTGAAGACAGAATAGAGTCAAGATTGAAGTGAGGTTGAGCAACAGATGTTTTTTTTTACCTGATTTAAAAAAAAAATCTCATATGGTAAAATGCAATAAAACCTAGGTGAAATATGAATGACTGAATACTTAAAGGTGCAAATGGAAAATGTACGAAGGGCAGTTGTGGCTTCCTTATTTTTTTCATCGACAGCTGGTCAACTAAGATCCTGTTTCGAGAAAAACAATCCGCCAAGAAAGTGAGGACAATTTTTCCCTCTAGGGGCGGTGTTGCTTTTTTTCCTCTGCTGTGCACCGCTATTTGCAGCAGTAGAAGAAGTCAAGATGGCCGCCGCTACCATGAAGGGACCCGTGGTGAGTAACAACTACGAGGTGTTGTCTGCTTTCTTAGCAGAGATAAATCAAATAAACCTCTATAGGGGGCAAAAATAAAACCACAAGTTGTGTGTTGGAAATAACAAGGCAATTCCTTACGCTGGGGATGTTTTGAATCATTGTCGCATCTGCGTTCCCCTCATGTCGCTAATGACAGCTAACGGGAGTAAGCAAGCTAACCCACCAACCAGAACCATTATTAGTTCCGCGTGCAACTTGAAAGGTGATCCGTTGATTGGTGGTAATAGAATATAACACAGGTCAAACATAGCTGTGTGAGTCAACAGGTCACCGTTCCAGTTGTGACAGTGAAATATAGTTAAAAAAATTAAACATACGCTTATATTCTTATCATTTTTTAAATTTTATTTTGTTTGCAGGCGGTTGAAGACGTGACTGTGACTTTTGAAGACCAGGAGAAGATCAACAAATTCGCCAGGAATACGAGCCGGATGACGGAGCTAAACAATGAAATCGAATCAAAGAAAGTAAGCAATAATGATTAATTAAAGAGTAAATCCAAAACCAGTCAGCTTGAAGCACACAGTTGAAATCACTGCAACGTCTTCATCCTCAAATATATTGTTTTAGAAAATGTTACATGTTGAATTCCTTTTTAACCTGGTGTACACCTAACTATTACATAACATGCTGCTGAAAATGTGAACTTATGATGATTAAATACATTGGTGGTGTGGATAAACTGTACAGATTATTCAAGGTAATCTTTGCCTTAAAGCAACAGGACCAACAACAACGTCTCCTAGAACATGTAGCAACAAACATTGTTGCTTTATGTAGATTATATGCTAAATCATATTTTGATTTTCCTGTTGTTAGACCGGAATGATGATTTATTTTTTCTGTCCTCTATTTTGTATCCTTAACTCATCCTTTGATCTTATTGAGGGTTTTATGGCATCAAGTCTTTTCATAACCCCCTTTTTTTATTTCCCACATTTTTTACAAAGGAACACAAACCCCTGTATTCCACTGAGACATTTAAATTTACCCTTAAATTCTGCACAGCTGCTCGATTATAGGTGCTAACTTGACAGCTTCCCTCATTTAGCGTCTGTTGTTTTTTTTGTTTTTTGTGTCTATATCTACACGTAGAAAACGCTGCAGAACTTGCAGGATGCCAGCGATGACCTAATGATGTTGGATGATGACTCTCTACTAATCCCTTATCAAATTGGCGGCGTCTTTATCAGCCACTCCCAAGAAGAAACACAAGAGTTGCTAGAGGCTGCCAAAGTAAGTGTTTTATAGTCACTCAATACTTCTTCTCACCTTTTATGCTCGAAAGCATTAGCAAAGGTCTGAACGTCTGGCTTTTGTTGTTATTAACTCATTCGCTGCCAAAGACGTCTATAGACGTCTTTTCAAATCCAACCACTGACTGCCAAAGACGTCTATAGACGTCTTTTATGTTTTTCAATGCGAGTGGCTTGGGGGACGATCGGCGAAAGTTTTCCCGTAAATATCAGGCTTCTAGACAGAGTATGGACTAACAAATTTACCCTCTAGGTAGCTGTGCCACTTTTGATGGGAGATTAGCATAGATTGTAAGCAAATAAAAACAAACGCAATAGTTCGCTATGAGAGAAATGGCGCCGGTGAGACGCACGTCGAAGAAGAACGGAATGAGGTAGAAACAAATTCTTTTTTTCTGATGAAAGAAGAGAGTCTACTCTTTCTTTTGGTGTGTTCGGTTTTTACATAGTCATAGCACAAACTATTCTGTGGCTCTTGAAAAATCAGTCAAAATTCTCAAAAAACTCTGGCAGTGAGCGACTCTCTGTTCTGAAAATGGCTGGCAGTCAATGAGTTAACATCAGAAGAATCATGGTGTAAAACTAACCATAAATATTGCAGCTTGCCTGCCATTAGTTAGTCCTTCCCCATTTTGACTCTTGTTTAAACAAAAACAGAATGTTGCGCTAGAATCCAAGATACTAGTTTGTTTTTGCCTAAATCTTCTTTGGTGTAGGATTGGGCCTCAAGGAGAGCACAAGCAGTAAGATGTGTAATTAAAAATCTTTTGTAAACTATATTACAGGTACCCAAGTAAAAGGCCGAGTTAAATAACAGTTTACTCTTAGGATCAAGGATTTATGTTCATATTGGGTTTATGTGCTATGTTGAGCTCTTTGGTGCAAAGTTAAAGTGTCCCATCTAAAAGATATTGATATTGACAGAGCTATCCATTACAGCCTAATCGAAATGTGATTTATTTTCTCTGTATCTTAAAAAATTATAATTTAAATAAATTGTCCTATTTTTATTTTTCATTGGGGCATAGTTTGTGTTGTCTCATATTTCTATTATTTTTGTTAATGGTTAAAAAGGTTGTAGCTGCTTTTGTCGACCTGTTCGTAAAGTGTTGTTAATTGTAGTCAAATGGCAATTTTGAGTATGAGGAAGAGGAGCAGTTTTCTAACCCTTATTGTTGTTTTAACTGTAAACCCATTGCCACTTTTACACAAGAGTCTGTTTTTATTGGATTTTAGAGCAAGCCATAAACCTTCACAACTCTCAAAAGTGTCAAAGAAAGCGTTGTCGTTTATTTTTTAGCTCATATTGCCATTTCTCTACCCGTACAGTGTTTAGGTTGGCTGCAACTGAACTAATCCTGTCAGAACTACCTGAAAGGAGCTGTCTAATTTTCCTTTGTCACAGATACGTTGATGCTTTCTCCATTTAACAGTTCAAAAGAACAAATCAAATGTGGGGTCTGATGTGAATGTTCATTATGCACTGAGGATAAATTAAAGGAGAGAGCCAACGGCTTTAGTTGTAACGAATGTCTAACCATATTTTATTGATGGGCAAACACCATATTGTAACTTCCAAAAGTTAGAGATTCAAGACCTTTCCTGAGTTTTGCTGCACAGCCTCATTGCCGATCAGATAAAATAAAAAAAAGCTCTACATACAAACAATCCCAACACTGTCTCTGAGGGTAAAATATCTTCTGCCAGTAGATTTCTCTCTTAAGCCTACTGGCACTAGAATTAAAAAGGCAGCCAAGGATGGCAGACCGGTTCAAAGATTCTCTCTGTGAACTGTTTTCTTTTTTTTTTCATCGTATTTTACAGCTGAACTAACAATGTTGGGTCTCGTCCGGTTACCAGGCAACCCCGCACTTATCACATTAAGTGGCATCAAGCTTTTAATTGAGCTTTCAGAAGGATATTTGATTACTCTCTGCTCACACATCACCCTGTTGCTTTTTAGGTTGTGTGGGAGAATGGATAGTTTATCGGATATCAAACACAACTTAAGAGGGGCGTCACCAGCCCAGACGTCACTCACAGTCACTCTCACTATTACGCCCTCTCACCATCACCACAAGGGGGTACTGTAGATCTTAGAAACACTCTGATAGAAAAGGGTTTGTGTGTGCTCTTTCGGAGATGATCCAATTTAGTAAACTCAGTTCCGGTTGACACAAAAAAAATTCTAAATTCACTTTGGGGGCAGTACATGCTGCAGAAGGAATCCTGCAAAAAATCAGTATTTTGTTCACAGCTTGTGAAAATATGCAGACTACGCTGCTGTAACTGTCAGTACTGACTGGCAGATAATAATGTTACAGTCTATTGGACTGATTTTCAGCTTCTTCTCAACACATTTAAACAGTTCTGTATTTAACTTCCTGTTGCACATACTTTAAGATGCTGTTATCTCTTATCCCTTCTACTGATGACTTGAAATTGTTTTGTACTTTTGGTCTTGTACCGTGGCTTTTTATGCTGTGAAATGTGAGTGTGATGACACAAACGGACATGTAGAGATTTCCTTTGCTTTGTCATTGAACCGTGATGTGCATTTCCTTTCCAACAGGAAACTCTGGAGAAGGAGGTCAAAGGCCTCGAGGAGCGAGTGTCGGCGATACAGCAGGTGTTAGGCGATCTGAAAATCCAGCTGTACGCCAAGTTTGGTAACAACATTAACCTGGAGGCCGATGAAAGCTAGGCAGAGAAATGGATTTTGACAGCTGCCTCAAAGGGGACTCACACACAGCTCCTGATTCACATCCACATCGTGGCAACAAAATGGATACTTAGTAGCTTTGGGTCTTTGTTTACACACAATATATGTCTGTATATGTTTTTTCTTTTTTAATTTACATGGACAGTGATGGTATGGATTTGGTGGTTAAATAAATGCCTTTAAGTTAATGTTTTACACCCCTGCTTTATTTTAGTCATGTTTGTTTTTGATACACTAAATTAAAATAAAAAAGGAGCAAATTGCGAGCAGTGACTGATTGAAAATTAAATGGAAAAACACAGATTTGTTTCACATGAAAAAGATTACCATAAAACACTATTAAACATTTCAGTGAGTTATCTCTAAATAAATAAGAAGCTAATGCGTTTGAAGTCGCGAGAAGTTCAGAAAGAAACTAAATTGCAGACAGAGCAAATACAGACTTCAACAACATATGTTAAAAGACTACCCATGAAACTCACATTACTTGCTGGAATTTTCATGTATTTACAGAAGCTCAAGTTGTCATCTCCTCCCACAGCGTGTTTGTGCTTCATTATTTGTGCAGCAGCACATTATAAAACCCAGATCTGAACCAGGGCACAATTAAAATGCACAAATAAGAGGTTTCCTGTTTACTAAAATGTCTTCTCGTGCTTTTGTTTCCAACTCAGAGGTGGAGCACCCGTGTTCAGTTTGGTTTTCCTGACCGTTTCGTGCCATTCTCTGTCCGTACAAAGGCCGAGCACCTATCAGCTTTGCGGCATACCGTCTTAAACCGAGCAAACGGCGTCCCTAAATGGATCAGAATCCACCTGGCTGCCTTTCTCATATCATCAGTAATCCGGTTAGAAGCCATGCATGCCCAAATCATCACAGTGGCCCCACACATCTTTTAGCTGATGTGTGCTTTCGAACATGGACATATCTATATACATAGAGTGCAAACACTTTTAACTCAATGCAAATACATTACTACAGATAATTAATAAATAATAGCTTGTCAGGCTGTTCATGCTATTATGTAACAACACATGATGACTGACTTCTTACGTGACGATTTACCTCCTAAGGATAACTTATTGCATTTGGTATTGAAAATGTTTCATTTTCTATAATTTGGTATTCTCATTATGGGTGACTGATACGTATGTCTAAAGGATTGCGCTTCACGCGGACGGATATATATTAGGAGTTTTTCTTTGGCATTGCAAGCATCTATATATCACTGTGCTATACGTGGGGAAAAAAATAACCTCTTTAAACCAGGTTCATAAAAGTAAAGACTTATACCAGATACTTTTGTCATTTCATTTTGAAAGATTACGTTTTAGAGAAAGCAAACCAATACACAGTGTCATCTACTCCTCAATCCTTTACTCGCATTAATAAAGACTCCCAGTAAACTTTTTAGCAACCATATTTTAACCTAATGTAAAGAGTTTTGGCTCCAAAAGATGGCCATTGTTGGACATGTTGGAGGGCTTCCTCGTAGAGGGTGCACAGAAACATTTCTTATTTTTATTTTTCCACCTTTAGCTGACTTGAGAGTGCTTGCAACCTCCATTTAATTCATACAGCACTGATTGTCCTCATGTCCCTCAATAACAATTGTCCACTGCTTATAAATTTGGTTTGAAATTTCTATTTAGATAGTACACTTCCATATGGTCGCATGTGTACAAGATCCTGCTGTACAAACATAAAAAAGTTATGCGTAAATATTTGTTTAGATTTACATCTTTAAAGTCTTTGCATCATCTTTCATATATAATTCTGGCCCTAACAAAAATACACTGTTCAGGTTTCATTAAACTGCGTCCTCAAGTGTGACCTCGCCAAAATAAAAGTGGAAAGCCTGAAACTGTTAAATTATTAGGTTCTGTCTCCCAAACATTTTTCCGTCTGAACATTTACAGCTATGATTAAGAGAAAATCCACCCACACAACTGTGTCTTTATGAAAAGCTTGTTAAATCTCCAGCTCAAAGAAACATATGTGGCCATGATAGTTGATGGCCTTGTTTACTCTCGGTCTATATTGTCATATATCATATGTTACTGTGCAGGGAAACATTTCACGTTGTGTTTGGAAATTGGACAAAAACAAGTGACGATTTTGGAGCTGTAGGTAATAGCAGAAACTTTCCAGTGGGTGTCTCTGTCCCCCCAGGAATTTCAAACATTTTAGATGGATGTGCATGTAAATACTGGAGAAATATGTTAAAACAAAACAATGTTCTGTTCCCGCAGAGGAGTTATTAATGGGAGGATAAAAAAAGGAAGAAACGGAATGAAACGTATTCCTTAAAATAAACATATTATAATTGTATTTTTTGGGCTTGTCAATTTTCTGGCAAATCACAGACAGCTTGATATTATTCCTGTCTGCTCTTTAAAAGAAGAATTTCTCTCAGAGGTCTCAGAGACTGATGTCTACTGTTTTTCCACATGTCTGTAGGCTCTTCATCATTTACTGCACTGTCAGTCACACGTTGGGCTAAATATCAGGAGAACCAATCCAGATGTTTTTGAAAAATCTAGAGCAACCAAAGCCATTCTTCATAACTTAATCCTGCTGTTTCGCAGGCAGCGTGTATCCAATCCAAGCAGCTCAGAACCTGACAAAAGCACAATGCAACTGTTAAATGGCACTGTTCTTATTGTGGCGGGTATTTGTGAGTATATGCAAAATTAGGAAAAAAATGCTGTTATATCCTGTGAAACAGAGCAGCCCATAGGTCTATATAATCCATTTACCTTATTTTCCTGTCTTCAGATAACTATTGACATTAAAGGCTGTATAAAAACTGGGATAGAAAAAAATATATACCTAATATATTCCAAAAACAATAAACCTAAGAGAGTTTAGCTCTTTTTCACAATATTGTAATATAGATACAGAATCCATGGACTTTTAAAGCTGTTTCCAGAATAAACCAAACAATGATAAGCAGATTAATGATAAGGGAAAATATTGATTGGTGTCTGTATGCTCTTCATCATTTACTGCACTGGAGTTATGGTGAAAAATCGCGTTTTCTCACTGTCACTCACACGTTGGGCTGAATATCAGGAGAATCAATCCAGATGTTTTTGAAAAGTCTAGAGCAACCAAAGCCATTCTTCATCACTTAATCCTGCTGATTTTCAGCCAGCGTATATCCAATCCAAGCAGCCCAGAACCTGACAAAAGCACAATGCAACTGTTAAACAGCACTGTTCTTATTGTGGCGAGTATTTGTGTGTATATGCAAAATTAGAAAAAAAACATTGTTATATCCTGTGAAACAGAGCAGCACAGAGGTCTATATAATGCATTTACCTTATTTTTCTGTCTTCAGATAACTATTGACATTAAAGGCTGTATAAAAACTGGGATAGAAAAAAATATATACCTAATCCATTCCAAAAACAATAAACCTAAGAGAGTTTAGCTCTTTTTCACACTATTGTAATAGAGATACAGAATCCATGGACTTTTAGAGCTGTTTCCTGAATAAAACCAAACAATGATAAGCAGATGAATGATAAGGGAAAATATTGATTGGTTTGGGGCTAACTTCACCCGTGTGTTTTAATCAGGTGGGATTGAAAACTGAGTTTTTTGCGCGACGGCACAGGACATGTCACGCCTCGACAGCTGAAACACAGAGAATATGAATCAGGAACTGTCATGGGAATAAAAAAAGAGAGGCCCAAAAAGCAGAAAGCAAGATAGAATACATAGAATATCTATATGTAAATGTTACAGCTCATTTAGGAGGCAGCAAAAAAAGCAAACTGTGGACTGATCAAAGGCCCGGGTTTTGTGTGAGACTTTTTTTACACTAATTAATGCCTTACTGATTACTTCCTTTCCTCCAGATCTTGCGGATAGGGATTGCTTTATGTGTGGAAGCACTCTGCTGCAATATATTCTGTCATTCATTTCATTACTGTCCATCAAGCTGATCAGCCCAGACAATAAAGGCTCAATTCCACTGCGGCAGCCCGTGATTAATCTGAACGTTGGAGACAAGCCTGCTAGTGAACTGCTCCCTCTGCTAAGGTGTATGAGCATCAGCGAGGCAACCAGGGCTTATAAGTGCTCTGAAAACAAAATTAGTGTCTCAGAAGGAACGTTCAGCGGTCTATTTAAAGATATGTTTGTCTCCTATTTCTCATTTGCTAAACTGGAAACGAAAATGTTCATCTACGTATCATCAAATCGTCATCTAGGAAGCTTAACTTAAGTAAGATTACTTCTATCAATTATTTACTTAAACTAGACACTGCTGCTATAATTCAGGAATACATTTCCATATCCACCATGGGACAGTGGACGAACCAAACTCACTGTATGATTGTATGTATATTTTATTAAGTACACCAATTGAAAATAAGTTAGCTAAACTAGCACATCAAAGATGTAGAAAGAACAAGGAAAGACTTCAATACGGAATAGCCTATTACTTCAAATCTAAGGCTAACATTATTAACCAGTCTTGGCTGGTTTGGTGTTTTGGTTCTATCAGAAATATTAAAAGAAGATAATGATGACAGATTAATGCACAAATATCTATGCACCTTAAAGGAAAATGATTTTACTTCCCTTTTAAATATCAGTCTGTGGAACTGAAATATTTGTTTCTTATAGAGAGTGACTTTTTGACTGATAAAATCGGTTTAAATTACACCAAGACCCATAAACTGGATCTAAACAGGGCATCAAATAAAAAAAAAAATATTTTGACAGTGCCTTGCCATCTCATATAAAAAAAATTTAAAAAAAAAATCCATTGACGTTGATGCATTCAACCATGAAAATGATAGCTGATGACATAAAAAACATCAAATCGTTTGGAGAGCATGACACTGTACTATGGTCTGAGGTGGTTGGATGGGAGATGGAGAAACTTCACATGAGCTATTTCCCTTCTGATACGATCCCCTTAGAAAAACAAAATGAATAGCCACACCCATGCTAATCCTATCTGAAGAGGGAGAACAAAATACAAAACCAAGACGGGAGGTTGAAGACCAGACGTACTTCAACGTTCTGAACCATTTGCAAGTCTGGAGGCCTGTTTAGCAGGTATGGCAGTTGTCAAGGCAACTGAAAACCAACGAATTCAGCAGAAGCTTTGGTACCAAATTGTGTTATGGAGCCTGATCTTCTTTTGTGTTGAATTGTGCATAGCCACTTGGTCAGGAAAGGTAAGCTGGTCATCACCATCTAGTCACCTGAGAAGCAACAACCATTAGAGAATGCATTTTTACAGCCATGTCGGGCTATATAGTTTGCTTAGTGATGTGCCAGTGAGATAATGAGATTCACACAGAGGTTGCTGAGTCCCCAAGTGTGTCACAGACCCACATAGTTGGACAAAGTTGGATGTTATCAATGTAAACGTGATATGAAAAGGCATGTAAGCATATGATTGAATCTAGTGAGATGGTGTGTTGATGTATTGATGTTTTTCGCTAGACACTTTGAATGATAATCTAGTAAAGTGGAATACAAACCTAGAGAGTGCTTTGCTTGTAAAGATGATTTTTGAGAGTTTAAATAAAAGGTTAGTGCAGTTTCAGCAGAGTGGCCCTTTCTAAAGTCAGGAAGGTATGGATCAAGGAAGTTGTTTTGTGAGAGGACTTCTGTGATAAATTTGAATACCATTCTTTTGATAGTCTCAGAGAGCAATGGCAAGGATGAGACCGTTTGACAGTTTTCCATGAGATTTAATGCCAGAGAAGTTATTTTTCTGCAATAGTGTTACGAGTCCCTGTTCGAAGGCTGTAGGAAATGTTCCAGAGATCAGTGTGGCATTAAACACTTCTCTTTCAGAAGGATGGGTGAGGGAGGGAAATTACACTGTAGGAACATTGAATTAGCTTCACAGTGAGCTGGGGGAAACAGGTTTGGTTAAAAATTACTTTTTGCTACTGTCTTGATAAGGAACACC